ATTTACTGAGTGCCTCCTCTGTGCCAGGCTTTGGAGTTACAAATCCTGGCCCTTAAGGCATCTCTGTTCTCCTGGGAGAAAGATGTACACACGGACAACTGCAGCCGGATCTATGTGGTACTTGAGGGAATCACGATAGTGTCAGGGCACGGAAAAGGGCCACCTAAACCAGCTTGAGGGTGAGAAGGTCAGGGCAGGCTTCCTCGAGGGTGTGACTGGTGGGCCAAGTCATAACGACCGGGTAAGAGGAGAGGGGCTCTTTCAGACAACTGGCTTTCTTGATAGGCTTGGCTTCTCCCCCATTTTCCTGCCAGCAACATAGTGGAGAAGACTGGGACAAGCAGGTACAAAGCCACCCTACTCTGTCCTCACACAACACCCCCTCCTCTTCCTTCTCCCTTCCTGCTCTCCAAATCTTAGGTTTTGAGGGATCTCCTCCCTTCCTTTTTATCTGCTTGTTCATTTATTTATTCATCCACCAACATTTGTTGATAACCTACTATGTGCATAGCGCTGTGACAATAGGAATGTCCTTGTCTCTACTGTCATGAAAGGTCTTACCTTTTCCTCACCAGCCACAGCTTCTAGGAATCTTTTGGCTCTCTGTCCTTTTCCAGAACTTGGTTCCAGCCTGATTTCTCCCCGTGCAGCACTTGCAGGTAACCCTCATTTGGGCAGATGTTTCCGTTCACTGTCTTCCTCTGGCTTTCTGATCCCTCCTCCTGCTTTCCTGAACTGACTTGTCTCTTTATCTCTCTTATAGCTCTGAAAGTTCCTCTAAGGCAGGGACTATGTCCTCGTCCTCTGGCTTTCTGATCCCTCCTCCTGCTTTCCTGAACTGACTTGTCTCTTTATCTCTCTTGTAGCTCTGAAAGTTCCTCTAAGGCAGGGACTATGTCCTCATCTTCTCTGAATACTGCATTGTTGTACAGTGGTAAAGCTGGGTCAAAAAAACCCTTCTCAATCATGAAATTAGTACTGTTTATTGAGCACCTGCCATGAGCCAGTTGCTCACTGTTGACGCTTTATGTATGAATATCTCTAGTCCTCCTGTCTTTGAAAAGTGGATACTGTTATCTTCATTTCATAAGTAAGAAAACATGGGGAAGGCAAAGTGACTTCGGGGAAGGCAAAGTGACTTCTCACAGTCACACAGCACATTCACAGCAGAGTACACCATCAAGATCAGGTTTTTCTGATTCTAAACTCTGATCTCTCCTCCACACCATTGTTTCTCAGACTTGGCTGGAATCACCTGCAAAGTTTTTAAAACTCTGATACCTGGGTCTTAGCCCTCGTGGTTCTGATGAGCTGTTCTGAGGTGTGGCCTGGGCTTTGGGAGTTTTGTAAAGCTCCTGGGTGAGGCTAACAGGCAGCGAAGGTTGAGAACGAGTGCTCTGCTGCATTGCGTTCCTGCGTGCACAGGGGCTGCAGCCATCGGTGTGGTATGTGAGGCTAAGCCCGCATGTGTGGACATCCGCGTGATCAGACGGCAAGTTCTTTCTAGCTGGGGATCTTCGGCCCTCCCTGCTGCTTCCCACCCAGCGATCCCAGCACACCATGCACAGGCACTGCCAAGGGTGTTGACTGTTTAATCAGCCTCCTGGTTCTTGTGTCTCATCCAGGGAATTCACTAAAAGGCGGTTGGAGTTTGATCACATCCAGCTGTTCTTATCCTCAGAGCCTGTTGACATAACAGAAGAGTCTTAAAAACACGGTGAGCACACTTGCTGGTCTTGAGGGTGTCACAGATGACCCGATGCATTGCAAGTGCGGCCTGGGTCAGCCTCCCACCCTCCGGCTGCCGGGCTTGGGAAGCAGGGGGCTGTTCTGAAGTTCCTTGGCACAGTGTCGTGTGTTGCCCTGGCTCTGCTTGGGAGAGGTTGTGGCCCACCTGGTCAATGAGTGTTCGCTCCTAGGTTGGTCTGTTCTGTCAAGCTTCACAGAGATCTTTTTTAGACCCCTCATTTTACAGGTAAGGAAGTGGAGGCACAAGTGGGTGAAATAACCTGGCAAATAAATGGATGCAGAGCCTGGGTTTCTTACTCCTGGTGTGGTGCTTTTTCCATTGTCTGCTGTCTCATGTGACGCCTCACCTGAAGCCACCAGCTTGCCTGCCTTCCTTCCTGTTTACCCCTACCCTGGGGTACTAGGACACCTGGATGTCACTTTCTGTCCCTGGGAAGACACCACTAGTCACTAGGGGTCCTCTTTACTCCTGGAGTGTGACCTGGGAATCATCCTGACATTCCAGGCTCTTCTTGAACCTGCTCAGCTGAAAGGAAACCTCCTGGGATGCTGCTCAGATACTTCTGGAATCTTCTTGGCCCTAATTCCATCTCCTGGTATTTATTACTCAGTTGTCCTTCAGTGCCAGGCCCTGATCTGGGTACTGGGGATGCTAAGATAAAATACATGTTCTGTGTCCTTAGCACAGTCTAGTGGAGATAATATGCAAGTAAAACAATATTTTGTGGTCTCTAGACCCCCTGCATTAGAAGTACAAGGAATGCTTATTAAAATGTAGATTCGTGGGCCCCCTACTCTAGATCAACTATTTCAGAGTCTCTGGGGATCAGGCCCAAGAAACGGCATGTGAGCATACTCCCTGCGTGAATCTTAGGTACTCTGAAGTTTGACAACTACAGAAGTGAGCCCGACGGTAACAGTCCAGGGGCATATGTGATGGGGAGCACCAAGCAGGTGGCAGTTTTCAGGAGCACCGATTCCAAGGAGGGACACTAACTGGGCCTAGGAACAGCTTCTAGGTGTGATGAGGAATAACTAGGAGCTAGCCAAATAGGTGTAGTGAAGATTCATTTCTCTAGAGATGTGAATCTTGTTTAATTTATGCTTTCTATAACTGTATTACTGAAATTTGCTTAACGCAGAACAAACCTGGATCACCCAGCACTGATGAGGATCTCGTTGGGTTTTGGGGGGCCTCCTGCTACATTATCTCTGTGCATGACTCTCTTAGCTCCCAGGATTAACTCCTGTCTTCGTTAAGCTCACCCTTTAGTCCCAGTTTCAGATCAAACTTGTTTCTCTTCAGGTAAATGATTTGGGTTTGCAAAGTTTGCCCCCTAGAGGTTGGTAGGTGCCTGGGACTGTGGGCTGCAGTTCTGCACATAATGACTACCTAGCCCTGTGGTCATGATGCGTTGATTTTATCTTTATTTCAAAGAAGAAGTTAGGTCATTAGGAGGGTGGGGTGGATGGAGAAGAGGTGGGCAGTCAAATGAAATAAGGCATGGAAAACTACAGTATTTCAGAGTCAGAGGGCCCTTACCAAGCATCTATTTCAAAGAAGAAGTTAGGTCATTAGGAGGGTGGGGTGGATGGAGAAGAGGTGGGCAGTCGAATGAAATAAGGCATGGAAAACTACAGTATTTCAGAGTCAGAGGGCCCTTACCAAGCATATGGTCAGAAACCTCTCGTTTTGGAGACGAAGAAAGAGGTTCAGAAAGAGAATATGAAATACTCAAGGGACACCACCAGACACAGCCTCCAACTCTGGGGACTCAATTTCTGGATTTCTGACTAGTGCTTTTTCTGTTTCACTACTCTGGATTGAAGCCTTTCTAAATTTACCCAGAGGGCTTATTTGCTTATTATTTAGCAATCAAATCATTTAGTGGGTTGATTTTTTTTATACATGCATACGTATTTTCCTAAGGCATAGCAGACCTGGGCTTTGGAGCTCTGTATCACATGTTTTATGTTTGGAATTAAAATGGGACCATGTTCGTCTGTGAGAGCACTTTGATAAGCATAGTACACCTTGCCAGTTGGTCTCACTGTGTGGTCTCCAGACCAGGAGCATCAGCATCCTCTGGAGCTTGTTACAAATGCAGATTCTTCAGCCCCATCCCAGGCCCATTGAATCACAAACTCTGAAGGTGGGATCCAGCATTCTGTGGTTTAACAAGCCCTCCACAAGGCATGGAAAACTACAGTATTTCAGAGTCAGAGGGCCCTTACCAAGCATATGGTCAGAAACCTCTCGTTTTGGAGACGAAGAAAGAGGTTCAGAAAGAGAATATGAAATACTCAAGGGACACCACCAGACACAGCCTCCAACTCTGGGGACTCAATTTCTGGATTTCTGACTAGTGCTTTTTCTGTTTCACTACTCTGGATTGAAGCCTTTCTAAATTTACCCAGAGGGCTTATTTGCTTATTATTTAGCAATCAAATCATTTAGTAGGGTTGATTTTTTTATACATGCATACGTATTTTCCTAAGGCATAGCAGACCTGGGCTTTGGAGCTCTGTATCACATGTTTTATGTTTGGAATTAAAATGAGACCATGTTCGTCTGTGAGAGCACTTTGATAAGCATAGTACACCTTGCCAGTTGGTCTCACTGTGTGGTCTCCACACCAGCAGCATCAGCATCCTCTGGAGCTTGTTAGAAATGCAGATTCTTCAGCCCCATCCCAGGCCCATTGAATCACAAACTCTGAAGGTGGGATCCAGCATTCTGTGGTTTAACAAGCCCTCCAGGTGATTCTGATGTACACTCAAGTTGCTCTGCAGTGACAGGAGATCAGCCCCTACAGCTTGTGGGAACAAGGCTTTAAATCTCTGATTTTAGTTACATGAGATGGCATTGGGGAGACAGGAGTGGTAGGGCTAGTGTCTCAAATCTCAGGTGGGATGGGTGAGATCATTTCACAGATTTGGCTGTTTGCATGAAAAGCGAGGACAGGCTGTGGGTGAGTGTGCCAGCACTGTCGCACTGTTGGGGTCCAGGAGCACACGCTGGGTGTGGCTCAACACGTTATCAGAAAGCAATCTTCTCATGCCTCTCCTGATAGGGCAGAGCTCCCCTAATTCATTTCTCTTTGTGCTTAAGTCAGAAGCCTGTGGTCATCAATCAGTTTAAAACAAGGCAATCAATGTTACCTTACTTTTCTCCCCCTGCCCCCATTATGCTGACTTTTTTGTGGGGGGAGTTACTTATTAAATGAAAATAAAACATTATTTCTTGATAGGCTTTAAACTTCAGGATTTCCTGGTGGACAATGAAACCTTCTCTGAATTCCTGTATCACAACCTCTCTCTCCCAAGGCCCGCTGTGGACAGAATGCTGGGGGCTGATGTCAGTCTCTACAAGGTAAGCTGCCGCCGTCAGCTCCCTCTGTGGGGCTAACGTCAGTTACGCTGTTCCAGCGCTGGGACAGAAGTGAGCAGACCCCTGTCTCTGAATGGTGGTGAAGGGGGTAGTTAGCCCCAGCTCAGCTTCACCTACTTTTACTTCCCTGCTCAGGCTGGCATTGCCAGAGAGTGGAGTGTGCAACCTGGCGTCGTGGGCCAGATGGTTGAAATACAATTGATTTCCTGCCTGTCAGTTGGCATTTGTGATGACTTCCTCCTAAAAGGATCATATTTTAGTTAAGGTGAATTAAACTTTTTTTGAAAGAATTTTACAGTTCTGAGACAATAACCAGGGTCGAGGATTATTGATCTGGAGCAGCCTTATCCATAAAATATAAGATACAAGATTTTAAAAATGTGATGCTTCTTTTAAAGATAGACAAAGATATATTAGGAGAATTTTTTTGATTTATAAAAATCAGGAAGTAAGGTTAGTGTTTATATAGAATTTTGACCTTAGATTCTTAGGAAACTTCCTCTAGCATCATTAATGATCACGCAGCTGCTGTGCAGAGGGCAGCAGACCCAGACTGCATGCTTATCGATTTTTCAGAGATGCTTCTAGAGTTTCTTCTCTGGTGGAAAGGGGAACTGCTTCCTCACCCTGTCTCATGTCTGTGTAGTAGCTTGTCTTTACAATAAGCAGAAGTAGTGGAAATGTTTATGCTTGAAAATGAGGTCTTTGCTTCAGATCTAGAATTATTAAAATTAGAAAAATGTGCTTACTGCTTGGCCTTATGAAACTCGGAAAATATGCCTTCTGTTTACCAGTTGTGTGGTTGGGAGATGGGCCAAAGGCAGCAGCCTTTTGAAAGTAGTTGCATTTAGCACAATTTCCATTGCCCCCTGCCAATTTTATATCTGTCACATCTGATCAGTTTAAAATAAGGGGCATCCTAAGCAGAGAGGTGGTCCTTGCGTGGTGGAGTCTGTGTGTTGTTAGAGTTCTTAAACACAGACACGAAAGGTGGGCTGACAGCCTGGCAGCAAGGACTACATAAAGAAAGTGGTGAAACTGAAGTGTGCTTGAGTATCTGGCAGTAGGTGAAAATTTAATGAAAACCATGGCAGGCCAAATGCTCTTTAGTGTTTAGAAGTGGCGTGGGTTTGGGCCGTCCCGGTGGCGCACTGCTACAGTGCGCCGCTTGGGAAGCACGGTGGCGCTCCCGCTGAGG